TACCTGTAACCCCCAAAGAGATGGTGAAGCTAAATAATGCTTAGTTTCCTAACTATTTTAAATGGACTGCGGTGGCATTTCTGTGCTAGCCGGTATCATATGGTACCTTTCAATAGTGCAGGATGTAGCCTCATGGCTGATGGACGAGGAGTAGGTTTGCCACTCTCCATTTGGCAGTTCTCGCACTTGCACAGTGAAGTATCGAATTGGTGACGACCCGTCACTTCCAGGGAGCCACTTCAGCTGCAGACTCCGGGATGACACATCAGACTGGGGGGTCATCAGCTGCCGGGGAGGTGCTGGTCGTTCTGCAATTAAAGCAGAATTTGGTACTGCCTTGAGAGGAAGTTCAAGCTAGCATAAGAAGTAGGAGTGTAACTGGATCTTCACGAGGATAATGCCAAAGGAGATGGAAGTTGTGGATTTGCCACATGAAGGATGCAAGTCGTAACGTTTCTTAGCCTCCTACTGTAAAGAAGAGCAGTAAAATTGATTTTTAGCTCCCTGAGGAAAAGGTCATCATCGAATAGTCATGTTCTCTAATAGCTCATAAAACAGACACTGCAACTAAGTTGAAACCTACGCCCTCAGCATACCCCTTTCTAGAAGAAGATGCCCAAACGAGTGGCAGGTTAAGGGAGAATCATTAAAGCTGTAGGACCAGCAGCCAAACAGAGCAAGCTCAAACAAAGCTCAGGTGCACTTCCAGTTACAATAGCTCTTTTGACAGATTTGCCTGTAAACTGGTCCATGCTCTTACCCCATGCTCACTGCTCGATGCCAGGAGCCTGCAAATCTCTAGCCAGCCAAGTTCATTCCGTGCTATGTAGCTCCCTCTTCCACCAGCTGCTCCCCCATCATGGCATGAAGAAGAGGAAGAGAGAAGCTGGAAGAGGCTGGTGTGTAGTGGAACCCAAGTGCAGGAGTGACAGCAGATCCTGAATTTCTGCACCCATTATCTCTGGCAACCAGGAACCACCAGCAGCCCATGGCATACACAGTTTTGCTGCTCTTTCCAAGTTCCTGGCTGGACATAACACAGATTCAGGGCTTTGATGTCTGCACTTTCAGACATTCCCTCTTCCTCCCTTCACATTGGCTGACCTTGCACTACAATGTTAAACCAACCAGTCCCGGTGTCGAGGGACTTCCCCGGAGTAATTAACAATACACCTTTAATTGTGGTGGGGAATGGAAATGCAGGTGTGAGCATGCTGGTCCCTAACCCTTTCAATACAGATCTCCTTTCCCCGTCACTGGGTCTCCGCAGCCCATCGATTTCAATAGAGAAACTCTATAGAGTGAGGAATAATTGTTTAATTGTTTATCATGAAGATTATTGATTCTGATTAAAATGTGTGGCATGTAATAAAGCAGGAATTGATTGGAGACACTGCAGTGACTTGCCTTTGAGAAGCAATTCAATTCAACTTCATCAGCACTTGTTTCCATAAACATACCTCTGAGTGCGTGACTCTTCAGAGCTTTCCACGGCCAGCACTTCATTTCCCTGCCACCCCCTACAACCATTCCCTGTACGTCCTGGTATTTCTCCACAGCACAGTCTTGCTGACATCAGTGCCAAAAGATTTGTAAGCTATTAGCTGTAGGAAGCCCTCGGTGCCGGCAGCATGCGATCCAGAGCACAATGCAAAAGGTCAATGCCTTACACTGACAGGCTGAGACAGGTATTCAGGGTTATTCTATCAGGGGAAGCGAGTGTCTTGCGGGGATTTAATACTCTTTGCTGATAAGCTTTATCCAGCTTGCAATTTTGGGCAGGTCAGATCTTGCAGTCAGTCTCCCATGACGGGGTTGCTGTCTGCTGCTAATGGGAGATCTTAAAATCTCCCGTGCTGTGAGATATATTTCCTGACTGTTTGTACAAAACCATTAGTATAAAGAGTTTATTTGTGAGGGTTTAGCCACAAGCAAATGCCAAGGTGAGCTGTTTGTGCAGGAATGTGTGGCCAGGCCATATGACTCCATGGAGCCTTTTTAATGGCAGATGTGGCAATTCCTTTCTACATGTAGCTACAGAACAACCTCTGACTCAGTTCTGCCCTCGTCCCTGGTGCTAGCTCTTCTAAAGGGTAGCATGCCATTATGGAGATCCAAAGCACTGCAGAAGGCTCTCCAGGGAGCAGAGCTACAATCCAGCTTGGGATCCACTAATCATAGACACCAGTGTAAAATATGAAGTTTTATTTGGGATTACTCAAGGAATCAAATGGATAAAAGTAACCAATTTCACTGCCTGTCTCCCTTATTATCAAGTACTACAGGGATTTTAGAGGCATTTTTATTAATGGAAAGTAAACTTATTTTTTTTCCCACTCTAGAATATTTATTGTCGTATAAGTAAGTCCCGGGTTTGTTTATTTATTTACTTGTTACTGGAATGGCTGCACTGGATAAATTTCATTATCATGTCCTCGTATCAATCTTGCCAATGTGAGGCTACACATTTTTCTCTCTCCACCCCCCATATGGGACCACTTCAGTTAACTCTCAAAGCCTTGGGACTCAGTTCGTAGGATGCATACGGACTCAGTACAGCCATCCATCAAAAAGAAAAAGGGTTCATTTTACATTATGACTTGCCCATTCAAGATAACCCTAAAGGATTGATAGCAACAAGGGATCATAGTTCTTGCAGAGGAGCTGGCAGTACTGCAGTGAGCTATTGTGCAGCCAGCAACAGCCTGCGCACGGCCTGGGAAATCTGAGCAGATTTTATTAAAAAAGAAGAGGCTCCTCTGTGCTCCGAGCTTCCACCGTACACTTTGATGGGCCTGTTGGGCTTTTCTTAAACTTTCACATGTTGGGATGTTTTCAGCTTCTACTTTGACAGCAATCAGACATGGACAGAAGTGGAGCTGATAAATCTGTCTGATGGACAGTACCTTTAGCAGAGGCACTTCAAGATTCCTAATACAGCTCTGGAGATTCTTTCCATGGGGACTGCCCTGTTACACGCTGCAGCTGTTGCAGGAGGAATTTTAACACCAATCAGACAAGCCAAAGGCAGCTGAAATGCATCTCACTGATCTTCCCTGTTGGTGGCTGGGCAGATGGCTTTTTTTTTTAAGCTGTGTTGCAGGAACATAATAGGGAAGACCTTTATGGGCAAACAGCATGATAGACGGGCATGGGAAATCCTTAGTGTTGCATTAATGTCGAAAGGACTTTAAAAGAGAGGTTGCTGCGTAGTGACATTTTATGAATCTAGAAGTAAATATAATTTGTTTTATTACAGTGCAAGACTGAGAGAAGAGCCTGGCCCTAGGCACAGAAGCTCAAACAAAAATGTGAACACCAGTTGAAAGATGTCGATAGGGGCTGCTCTAGGTATGAAGCTACAGCACGCTTCTCTCTAAATTGTCATCTTGATAAATCACAGGGGTTGCAGAGTTGCAATTTTTGAGGGTGAAGTTTTCTTAAAAATCAACACCCAAACAGCACAACGGACCAGGGCAGCACCAAGTCCCACTGCACAAGAGACTGATGCTGTTAACATCGTCCTGGCTAGTTTTTGACTTTGCCAGCTCGAGGGATGAGGTGTGTGTTCTGCAGTGGAACAAGGCATATGTGCAGCTTTGGAGGAAAGATTCTGTAATACTTTATCTACCGTATTTTGATGTGTTGGGTATCTAAGCATCTGGATCCATTTACACACATATAACTCCTGTTTTCTTCAAGTAGTTTCCCTGCAGAACAGAGTTTGATTGAGGATTCAAAATGTGAATAACCATTTTGTGGCTGATGCAAGAAACAGAAATTTTCTAGGCAATCTAGATGTAAATGTTCTGCTAGAGTGCACGGCAGTGAAAGGACAGAGTAATTGCTAGCACATTTGGTCAGAAGTGGGGTGCAATGGAGGATCTGCATGAAGAAACCCTGCAAAAACACCTGCTCTCATTTTGGCTTCCCTAATCAATATAACGAACCCATCACCTTCTTTCTCAAGACTGCAAACTTTCTAGAAGACGAGAAAGCTGAACGAAAAGATCTGGCTGCAGAAGGGAGGCTGCATATGCCTAATATAGTGCCTGACGGAAAAATCAATCTCCAACAGCCTGGCAGCTTAGGAGAACTTTGCCTCATAAAAGTCTGGCTTGCTCACCAGGTTTCCAAAAATCACGATGCTGCTGTGGTTTAGGGGCAGGTTTATGGGGTGAGAAGGAGGAGGCATACAGGCTGTAGCCTGCTTTTAACATTCCCCGTGGTGCAGCCCAGGCTCCAAGGCCGGTTGCGCAGAGCGCCTCCCCCACGGCTGCAAACGTTACCTCGCTTCTCCGTCGTGATCACCGTGGCTTCCAGCGGCTCCCCCCAGCCCTGCCGGGTCTTGGCCGACGTCCGAAAGATGTAGGCCGACTCCGGGCTGAGATCCGTGGCCGTGAACTGCCTCACCGTGGAGCCAACCTCCACCGTGGTGAACTTGTTCGGGCTGCTGCTGGCCAGGCGGTATGCGATCTGATACCCTGAAATCACAGCCCCAACAGAGGAGAGCAAAAGGGTTAGGATTGTTTTATAGCTTTCTGGCAGGGAGAAAAGAGCACCAAAGCTACTAATTTAATCCTAATTACTCATTTACCTGAGACCAGAACAAAGTAATTTGCTTCCTTTAATGCTTTACATCTCTGCTTTATAACAGCCTTTCCCCATCAGATGCATTCCCTTATGAGGTAAATTACACGCACCGGGAGGAAGCGAAGGGTCTACTGAATATTTCCTGCCATGAAACTTACTTCATTCTCCATCCTTTATACAAACAAGGTACTGAAACAGTTTAATCTTTCCTGAGCATACTGGTACCTCAAGAAAAGGTGGAGGAGCAAACTGAGTCCATGCAATTACTCTTTTCTGTCTGAGCTAGTCCAAGCAAATGCTCTTTATTTCAGCTTTCCATCCAACCCAGACAAATGCATAAGATTTATATATACACACACACACACACACACTCGTGCACTGTTTTTTCCCTCTCATACGATTTCAGGACTGAGTGAAGCTACAAGGTTTTCAGCTGCAGAGCAGTTGGATTGCCCGCACCACGCAGCATTCACACCACCCAAGTGAACACTTGCCTCTGCTTTGTGCAGTTGCCTCTTCCCCAGCTTTCCTGCTCATCTGTAACTACACAGTGAATGCTGGAACTGCCAATAAAAGCATCTTTCCTTTGCCATTCAACATTAGTGAGCTTGTCTGCAGCCCAAGGAAGAAGCCTGCCAGCTCTGGGGTCCTGCTTGAACCATGCAGCTCTTAATAATCAATTTTGTTGATGACTGTAAACAATAGTCTCCAGTCAAACCTGCCTGAGCAATTACAAGTTTACAGTTTATCGTGTATTATTGATGATCCAACTGTGCAAAGCAGGGCTTGCAGAGCTCTCACGCACCACTAACAACAACTGCCCCCCAAAGAGGACCTGCCAAATGTTCAAACCCATTCTGTAGACTGAGCAATTCAATCAGGCTCTTGCTTGGTAACCTTCAGCCCAGCTGCTAACTTCCAAAATCAATTAATACCAGGACTGGTGCAAGGCTTTGCTGCCCAGGCTGAATACGGGGTATGATTAAACGCTTCATGAAGTTACAGAGGGCAGCCAACAAATCCAAATGAAAACAGCTGAGCGGAGGAACGCCACGGTTCTGCTCATCCTCCGAGCTCCAAAGGGCTCGGCTGACACCAGACACAACTTCTTCCTCTCGCAGTTAATATCCCAACCAGAACTTGAACTCCCATCAACTCTTGGCTATAAAAAGAACAGGGGAGCTGAACCTGAAGTGCTTCATTCATGAAGGCTGGTGTATAAAAATTAAGAATTTTGTCTTCCTGGTGGTTATTAGACAAAATCAGTGGTATTTTTTTCTCTCCGAGTGGGCAACAGCTGCCAGCGACTCACGCACAGGAGAGACACAAACACAATTCCTGCACTCCCTAGAGTAAATGCCACAAACACACAACTGTGCGCTGGGGACATTCCCTGAGGAACACTAAAATTTAATCGGGACACAGATGGTGTTAGTTCAGCGTGCTGATTCTTGCAGTGGCATTAACGATCCATTAGCACTTCCTTGTCTTCTTTTTTCTTCAGAAGCTACTATGGAATTTGGGTAATAGCCACATCTGCCTTACATGGAACAAGCTTGATGGTACGTGCACCTCTAGAAACGATGCAGTACTGTCTGTGCCAGGCACAGGCATCAAACATCATCTCAGCTGAGTGGTTAATGCCAGATTTCCAGTTAAAAGGAGGAGCACCAGCATGCTTAGAGCCTGGCAAAATCTTATGGTCTTCAACTTTGACTATCATATTTTTCCACCAATGAACTACCTCCTTTTATCCACTGTACCAACTCTTCCACCTCTGGTCCTGTATACTTCAGTGCAATATTTTTGTATATTTTATGCCATAGTATTTTAATTCTCTTTTTTAAAGTCCACAGAAAGAAGACGAATAGCAAAGAGGAGAAGAAAGGGATACGTTATTATCTTCTCAATTTATGCAGAAGTGCAGAAAGCAGAAACAAGAACCCAAGCACAGGATCTCAATAAAATGGAAAAATAGTAAAAGAAAGGCACTGGGGAAAATTTTACAGCAGAGGCAAAGATGAAGGAAGAGTAACTAAGATGGCAAAAGAAGTTTGATAAGGGGACATGAGACGTAAAGAATAAGACCTGGAGGGAAGCACAGAACATTAAAAGAACAGCAAACTTGATTTATCTAGTTATTAAAAGATAAGTATGCTATCTGGGACATATCATTGTTGAACAATTTCCCCTCTTTTCTAAACCTTTTAAAATAGAAAGTGTAGTTAAAATGTAAGGAGGGAATAGAAAGAGATAGCTATTTACTGCTAAATGGTGGTGCTCATGCTGGAAAGCCAATTACAAACATGCACAGATTAATCAAAGGAACATATACGTATCTAGGCCATTACAATAACTCATACAAGAGTGAGTATTTGGCTAGCATAGAAACTAATTTAGCCATGAAAAAGAGAAAATCACAGTGTCTCTGACAGGCTGCATGAACTCGCTTTCAGTGCACCTCTGTGAAGAAAGTAGTGGCCCTCACTGTCCTCCCTTGCACTTGCTGTGGTGGCGCCTGGCTAGAAAAATACCTGTTTTCTTGAGCATCTTGGGAAAACTTTCCCCAGCCAGAGACCTCACTGTTACACTTCCCTTATTCTGATCAAAAGGAACATATGAGACCTCTGCAGCTGAACCCAGCTCACTTATTACTACCTACAAGCCACTCAAGAGAGACTCAGTACCTTAATTTTGATCTCCTAGATCACTCTCTCCTATTAGATAATTTGGGGCAGTGAAGATACATTGTCATAAAGAGTATTGCTTTTCTTGTTTCCCAGTTACACAGAAGATGCAGCACTTAAGGCACAGCTTGGATAATAATTAAGGCTAAGACAAGATCAAAAAGATAAAATTATTAGGTTGATGCATCAACAACAAAGGATGGAAGAAGGCAGGAAATGTTGGGTGAAATCAAACAAGGCAAATCAATAGAGGTAAATGGAAAGCATTCAAAGAGAAATTAATGTATGCTCGAGGCTGTAAGAGGCAATAAATGCAATTGCAGTTATAAAAGCTGCAGCAGTTGAAAAAGGACACTCAAAAGTAACAAAAAGTCACAGGAATCTGCAGGGAAGGATTAGAAGATCAAGGCAGAGGCAGTATAAGAAAAACCTGAGGGATGGAAAACAAGTTACATAAAGTGAAACTGGTACAAAGAGGGGTTCAGGGAGCACGGCTGGGTAGCTGGTCAGCAGAGATGCGATTGCCATCCACAAACACCTCCACTACATTAAAAGACCATCTGCCACAGGGCAAGTGGTTCAAAGGGCTGAGAATGAACGTACGTGGGGAGCTAAATGGGTGCTTCTTGGTAGCAGAGCAAGGAGATTCAGCAAATGCCACCGAGGACAGACAAATCATCTACTTTTCAAAGCAGAAAGCCTAACACGGGCAGCTTTGATGGGGCATCTGGCACAGGAAGGTCCCTCCCTTGCTGGATTACAGCAAGATGTGCCTTAGTTAAGAAGTTACAGGCTATGAGTGAAAGTAAAAAAATTAGAAGGTGACCAACACAAACTCTTTGGGGACAGGAATATATTACAGAACATTAATCCTCTAGATGATCTATTGGAAGAATTCATGGGGTCTTTGCCATTTTTCTACTTTTTGTTTTTTTTAATATATAGCATTAGATCCCAAATCTCTTCTGTTACTGGGAATCTTGTCATTGTCCAGGCCATACTAGCATAAAAATGCCTGAAGGACCAACTCCTTTGGAGTTCGATCATTCACTGAAACACAGCTTATTTTTGCATTAGCATTTTTTTCCCTCCCAACTGCAAGCAGTTTCATGAGCTGCACTCTCCGAACTCAATAAAAGGCAACAGTTTGAACTGCCTGTTAAATGTTAGGTCATTGCAACACAACCACTAGATTCCCCAAAGCAAACAGGCAGGGAGACGCCGACACGCCATGAATATAAAGAAGGTTTCAAGCTCATCATCATACAAAGCCCTGCAGAACTGACAGCGCCTGTTCATGCAGGCCATGATGCACCAGAGATACAAACCTTTATTAATTTGTCACAGAACTTAGGCAAAGCCAAATGATACTGGGAGGTTATGGTCTGCCTAGTGGGATAGCAATCCGGTTTGTTGACTTTACTGCTTATCTGTTTAAGGGCCAGTGGGTGTGCAAATGCAGCCTGGGATCAAAATATGAATTTGCAAACAGGGATTACATCCAATTTTGGTTCTAATTCTCAGTGGAGTTCTTGCACTCTTTTGCAATAAGCTTCAGGTAAACGTTAAATACAAGAATACCATGAGGAATACTAACCGGGGCCTGGAAAGATGCCAAATGAGCTCTCGTTCTCAGGGAAAGCTTGCAGATGAGAAGTACGCACAGGCACAATAAGGCAACATTTTTATTCAGTAGTCTTTAAAGGAGCTATGCTGGGTGCAAGGCGGATGGACTGCCATAAAGAAGAGTTAAAGCTCAGAATGTTCCTTTTGGGAACACTCCCAAAAGGGAAAATATCTGGTAGGCTTCCACAGTAAAATATTTAAACAAACAAACAGGTAGTTTTCCCTCTTGGTGCCTGCCAGTATTTCATCCTGCTAATCTTGCTCTGAAATGCTAGAACATGTTTTGATACAGATTATAAAAATGTTAGCTGCAAAGGTGCTTGTATACTCAGAGGACACAGCTAGCAGAGCAGGAACATTGGTTCCAAGGCTCTGAACACGAGCCCGTCTTGCAAAGCGGGTGTTTTTTCTCTCGAGCCCCACCAGTGAGCAAGAGGGCACACTGCAAAATTATGCTAACTTTTTTTTTTTTTTTTCTTCCAGTAATTCAACTTCAGGGCCTGTGATGCTACAGTTTTGTTTTAAAAGTTCATAATGGTGATGAGATGTAGAGGTGTGCAGGGAAAAAAAAAAAAAAACTTGCAACCTTTACTACATTGTTTATCATCTATTTTTTTGAAGTACTCCACTCTTCTTAGGAAAGATCACAGTAGTACCCAGCAGGAGTAATTTTTTCTTGTTTTTCTCTGACATTGACACCTGACGACTTCCTCTGCGAACCTCAATTTTTCTACTATCAAAGAAGCAGAGAAGTGAGAACTGTTCAATAAAGACAATGGACTTCAAAAAGGTAGATGTGGGGAATGGGGAGGTAAAGTCTCCTGGAAAGGAATTCTAAGGGAAAAAGGAATTCAGGTTAGCAGACTGTTTAAAAGGAGACAAAAATAAAAGGTTCAACTATTCGTATGCAGACAAGAGATGTTAGGAGCCCAGTATGTTTGCATTCAGAGCTCACTAATAACCTCAAAAATCAAAACTGAATTGCACAAAAAGCAGAGCTAGGACACATTGCTAAGGCAGCATATAAATAGATAACACTAGCACATGGAGACAAAATCGAAAGGGCTAAAGTGCAAAGGGAGTTGTAATTTACAAAGGGCATCAAAGGCAGAAGAAAGGTTTTCTAAATACAATAGAAGTAAGAGGAAGACAGGAGGAGGGCAGGTCTGCTACCTGCAATGAAGATGTGCACAGGGCAGATGGCACAGAATGGAAGGGCTGGCAGCTCAACTTGCTCTACTTTCACAGAAATTGGGGGAAAAAGGAAAGAAAAAAAAAAAGGTTGATATTGACCAAATATTTAACACAAATTAGAACTGACAACAATAGAAGGAGGGATGCAGGCTAGAATAGAGATCAGGTTAAAGAATATTTAGCTAAGATAGATGTAATCAAGTCAGAAAGGCCTGATGAAATTTGCCCCGGAGTGCTTATGCAACCAGCTGAAGCAAGCTCGGAATAATTAGTGATTATCTTCAAGAACTTGTGGAGGGCAGGTGAAGTCCCAGAGCGTTTTGGAAGGGCAAACATGATACCTTATCTTTTAAAAATGTGAAAGACCGACCTGAGGAGCTGCAGGCAAAACAAGCTAAGCTTGAGTACCCAGGAAGATCCTAGAACAAAACATGAGTCAATATAAGCATCCATGAAGATAACAAGGTGCCAAGGAGCAGCCAATATAAATTTGCCTAGAACCAATAATAAATATTAAAATAACCCGTTTTCCATTTTGACAGAGTAATTGGCCAGGTAGAAATAACAGATATGATCCACATCGACTTTAAGTAAGGATTTGATACGGTCTCACATGGCCCTAGAGAAACAGAGTCTAAGAAAAGCACTACAATACATTAAAAAACAAGTCAAAATGTTGTTATCAATAATTTACTTAAAATTTGGGAGAACACATTAAGTAAGGCCTCATGGGAATATATCCTGAGTTCAGTTCTGTTCAGTATTTTTATTAATAACTTGGCTGTTAGAATTGCCCATCTACTTCCAAAGTTTAAGGATAACACCAAACCGTGCGAGGTTACCAGTCCTCTGAATGACAAGGTCACTTAAAGTAATCCTGGTACCTGGTGGAGAGAATCTGGAATCAGTTAGGTGCAACTCAAAAAAGAAATAAGCAATAAAATATCCCACTTGCAAAGAAAAAGCTAAATGCACCTCAAAAACAGTGACTGATCGACCTGGAAGCACACTGCAAAAAAGGGCTAGGAGTTAACAGTGGGTCATCGATCTACTTAGTTACAACACCAGTGTCACAAATATGTCAAATGGGGGCAGCATCAAGTATCCTGGAATGTGATTCCAGGAGCGCAGTGCCAGGATCAGAACTGTCCAGCATGACTGGCATTACGGGATATTTAGGCTAGATGTTTAGGAGAGAAAAAAGCTAACTGCAAATTTATTTAAATCATGAAATAAATTAACGAGGGACTTTCAAAGTGTAGATACATGTCAAGTATGCTTTAAGGGAAACCTGTCACCTTTCTTTTCAGCCCTGTATTTGTACAGTTTTATCCTCAACAAAGCGGTAATGAGCCGGAACCAAACGAGGATGGGATATATTGCACAAAGCAGCATGCAAAGTCAGAATAAAGGAGCTCCTGCCCCGCAGAGCTTACAGCTTCAGCAATAAGGCAAAGTGCAGCAGCATAAGACATTGGAACACATTGGAACACAGGTTGGGTAGCAAAGCACCAGTTGTACTTTCTCATCGCTGGTATCAAAAAGATCTTTTTTACCTCCTTAACCACATCCTGTGATCCAAATCCTAATCTCTACAGAGAACAAGCTGATAGGACACTGCTCCTTGAAAAGATGATAAATCAAACACAAAAGACAATCCAGACGTTGAGTTTCCTTGAGCTGCAGCGAGCCCTGGCGTGGTTCTGTCCCTGGCAGCTGCCTGGTGCCGAGTTTCACGCAACCTCTCTCTTTCATGCGCTCAGAAAATCCCTGCAGCTGCTGCCTGTGAGTCACATCCCATGTTTTCCCTGCTGCTTCAGGTGGCAGGATCACCTCCCGAGCACTTCTGGAAACCACACACCTGTGCAAACGCCGCGAGTTCCTCATTCAGACTTAAACACGATGCAGGGCCAGTCGTTACTTAAAGGGAGGTCACCGATACAGTAAAAATCAAAGTAGGCCCCTCCGCCCCATGAGGAATGCTGTGGGGAATAATCCTAAAAGACTAAACATAAACTTCAACTATGGCAGCGCAGTTAGAAGCAGAAGGGTCTAAAAGAGCGAGAAGTGAATGAAAAGCATGAGTTTTTCTTTCTCCGTTTTTAGAACTGAGATGAATCCTGCTCAGGCCCCCCACCGGCCCAGCTCGCTGCCCTTACCCAGGATGATGCCGTTGGGCTCCTCCGGCGGCTGCCACACGATGCGCACCGACGTCAGCCTCACCTCGGGGAACACCAGGCGCACGGGCGGCCCGGGCGCTGCGGGGGGAAATGGCGCTTGGTTACAAGGGGTGCTCCGTCCCGCGGGCGCGCGAGGCGGCCGGGCTGCCCCTCGCCACGGACACCGGGTGTCTGGGAGCACCAATGTCCATCCGTGGCATCGGCCCCGGCTTCCAGCTGCCCTGTGACTTCTGTCTGTGCATTTTAACCACTCCTGCCTGAGCAGCAGGACCCCAGGCAGGTTCGAGGCGCTTTAATTGAGCTGGTGGCTGCACTGACCATCGCGGGTTCACGGGGTGAGGAGATGCTAATTCCTACATTTGCATGCGCTAAATTTCCCCTTCGGCACAAATCCCACCTGCAGTCCCCTCGATGATACCTTTAATTAAGTTGAGCCCAGAGGAGACACAAGGTGTTGATACCGGCAGTGCGGAGATGGAAGAACAATTTGTATCGTTTGCCAGAGTGTACAGAAGGAGGGAGCTGCTGTAATGGGGTCATCTTAAATAAACAGATTTTAAATATTTCTCATTATATCCCAGTACGTGCAGTCCTGCGTGTACATTTTTCTTTCCCCTGGCAGAGTTGTGCTAATGGTAACTTCTCTTTGCTCCCATTTGAAGAAAAGCCAAGATGAGGCCCAGGAGATATGTGGAGAAAACAGCCAAAACGCCTGGGAGCTGCTGCCCCTCTGTCCCGGAGAGCCCAGCTCCGGCCCTCATTCCCAAGGGAAACGTGGGCTCCGGCCCCTGGCCTGTGCTCCACAGAAAGGGCCGTTTGTGGCCAGAAATCTGAAAGCATTTTCGGGCCAACAAAATCACCTTAATGAAGCTGTTTGTAGAAACCAGTGTTTATTCCATTCCTTTTGGGAACATTTTGAGGGGGGAAAAAAAATGGGAGACTAGTGTTTTTGCTCATTTTCACTGGGAGTAATAACGAGTAGCCTCTTTACCCAGACATGAGCTTTTATCAAACGCTAAAAAAGTAACCAAGCCAAAGGTAACTTTACCATCTGCCAAGCCAAAAATCATTTAACAGTCGAATTAAATTTCCATAAAACTCCACCAGCAGGAAGGCTCTGAGCATCAGGTTGGGGGGCAGGTTGCTCTAGTTCCTTCAACACATCAAACTGCACTTAGGAAGCCCTGAGTTCATGGAAAGCATTGCAGGGAATTACAATGGGAAGCCAATCCGATCATCTTCCAGGGTCAGTGCCTTCTTTTTTTCACCAAAAATACAGAGTTTGAATTACTGAAGTTGCAAATTCCCAAGCTTAGTTCAGGCCAGTCAGACCCGAATTGGTTTATTGATTCCAAGCGCAGTTTTTTTCACAGCCGTGATTGAACTTCAATAGGAATTCATAATTGGCCTCTAAAAATTCTCTTCAAATGAAATTGTCTACATCAAGTTGCAGAGTACAAATATTTTTTGATTTATTTTCCCCCTTGATCAGCTATGAAGAAAGAAGAAAATAGGCATCATGACCTTCAGTGTTTTTTCCAAATCCTCAGCCCATAACCAAAGGAAAGGTAAGGATCAAGTCCTTCAAGTTTAAAATTGTAACAAACAAACAAACAAAACCAAATAGGCTTAGCTTGGGTTACTGTCTACACTTGCATCATTAAAACTAAAAAAAAATGGTGTGAAAAAAGATGAAATAAATAGGGTATTTCTTTTGGTATCCCATAAACTCACCATCATCCTTGGTTCTTTCTATAATGGCAGGAGAGCTGGGGACTCCATCTCCAATACGGGTGAATGCCAACACCTGGATCTCATAGAGCACGAATTTCCTCAGGCCGGACAGCAGGAAAGACTGAGTGTGGTTGCCTCTTACTACTTGGCTCTTAGGTTCAGAGTCTAAATCTCTTGCCTTATAAAGGATCTGCAGAATAAATGTATACAAATACAGAAAGTAAATGATCAGCATTCACATGAGGACTGCAAAACCAGAATTTGGGATTCCTCATTTTCACCAAACACAAAACGAGATCATACTCACACGAAGTAAATTAGCCCTTCCAAAATTAGCACACTTTGAATATCTTTTCCTGGCAAGTAAAGGAAAATCATATCTAAAAGAGGAATTATAAGTAACAAATGCAGAAACATATCTAGGTAGAACATTAAAGATGTAGTAAGCACGATGCTGCAGTTGCATGTACCTTATAGCCCAGGACGAGTCCGTTCTGCTCCGGCTCGGGGACCGCGGCCCACGTCAGGAGGATCTGGGTCGAGCTCACTGCTTCAGCAGACACGTTGGTAGGAGGAGCAGAGGGCACTGGAATCACACAGCATTACAGCAATCAGAGCTGGGGAAGCTCTGCTACATCATTTTGCTCCCTCTCCCTATCTGCTTAGGATTGTTCTGAAAGGCCAGTTACTTTTCTATTTCCCAATCTATTTTTATAGATCACTTAGAAGAGCATTATAACCCAAAAGTCCTGGAATACATTCTAGCCAATCTTTTCTTCTCTTGCATTGACTCTACATCATCTTTAAATTTCAGCCTACTTTACAATTTCTTACCAGTTCATTGCAGAAATCACAATGTTCGTAAAGAGCTAAACATCCAACACCAATCACTGGCTGCAGACAGACAACAGATACCAACAGACACGAATAAACTGCAGGATCTGTGTATTTGCAGGGATAAGAATCAAGTCGAGATTGGAGATAGGAGTCTATTTCCTAATATTTCTTTCCCATACATTTACTTCCCTATGCCAAAAGCTGGAAATCTTTATGAATGGCAGTTTATCTCACAGCATGATCTGTTCTAACAAGTTTTATGCTTCCTATATTATCTAAAAGGAAATTATTACATCTTGTCTAAAGTTAGCAGCAACTCCAAGCACTGGGTTGTGTCCAAACCCCCGGTTCAGAATAAAGATCCTTAACCTTGGAGCCATCTGATGATGTGATGGTGCCCAGCACTTGCAATACACAAGGTGTATTTTAAGGGACTGATATGGCGCAAATGAAAGACACGCCTATTTCATTCATGTTGCAAAACTGGCTCTTACAAAACTAAAAACATCATTAGAACTGATGGCACAGGAAGACTGTAATTTTCTCTGACTTGAGAGGAAAGAAAACTTACATATTCGCAAGCCATTAAAACCCAGACCACTGCAGAAGAGCCCCACAACAGCAAGCTTTTGTAGGCAAGCTTAATACCATGTGGTTACGCAAGCGGAATCGGAGGCTATTTTTAAGAGTTCACATTTTCTGCTGCCCTTTCGCATTTTCTTCTGTGGCATTTCCAACATCTGAAGGGTACAATCTTTTTTAAAGCATGATACACCTGTCAGAGCTCGGAGAACATTCTCCAAACTATGTTACACAAGAACTTATGGACAGTAAGCCTTGATTAGGCCCTGAATATATCACAAAAAGGAGCACAAATCTCTGCCCAAAGTAATGCTTTCCGGGCTGTCCAAATGAGAGCGCAGATCTATTGTTTTGAAGGCTGGCTCCTGAAGCTCCTAGCAACATGAACAAGATAATGAGAATGACACCAGAATTAATACAAATTGAAAAAAGAATACACCAGCCCCCACCCCTGTGCACTCAAGGTTAACCACAGAGATAGTCATTTCTGAAACAATTTCCCTGTTTCCAATTAATTGGGACATAAGAAACAGAGCACCATCATACAGGCTAAAATCCGATTTTTTCTTCCAATGCTGAAATGCCTAATTTTTTTTTTTAATCTTCTCCTGGATTTATCCCCCACAAGGATATAATTATGTTAAAGGAAAATAGATTGCCAGGAGCCATGAATGCCTTTGGAGAGCTGCCATAACTTTATCTGTAGATCTCCACAAAGAGCTACTCCCACATGAATCACTTGTGGAGAGAGAAAGGCTGGAGGTGGGTCGCAGGAAACAAGAATACGCAGAGGAAAGAAGCCCGGCCACATTTATTTTCACTTTATCTGGTTTGAATCCTTTTCAGAATGCAAGCTGCCTTACTTTACAAATATTTCTTTTCCTCCTAGCTCAGCAGCCCCAAGATTTCCTGAATTCACAAAAGGTCAAGGCGGTGCCGAGGCTGGTCCTGTGCAGGAGGACTTGCTTTGAAGCATATCCACGATCACGCTGCTGGCCGGGGAGTCTAAAACCAGCACTGGACTGAACAGTGATGGTGAGGATGACTTAGCCACATCTCTCAGTCCCCGACGACGGCCCGAGCAGCGAACGCTCCCTTCTCCCAGGAAAGGAATCTAAACCCAGCACTTAAACAGCAAAAAATACTCATGCTCACTGTGTGTTCTGCTCTGTTTTAATTCCCCAGTGGAGCTCTCATTTCAGTGTTGAGAATTCCTTCTAAGAGGAGTGAATGGAGTTCAGAGCCTGCAACTGATAATCTGCATTTCGTGGCTACCAACCTCATACCAAGCAGCAGACCTCACCTGGCCCTTCAAGGACGAATCAAAACGTAACCTTTGCTTCCCTGAGCCCTCACTCATCTCGGGATGTCTCAAGATTCCAAGTTTCGCAAGGCCTGAGATTCCTCTCCTTCCCCTGCAGACTCCCTCCTCCAAAGCTGGTTTGCTCCAAAGCAGAGCTCTCATTAGGGACCCTGCCAGAACAGTGCCTAACCCAAGCAATGCCCAATAAGTCTCAGAGCTTTAAGAAAGTGAACCAAAACCACTGAAACTAAATGATTAACTAATCCAGCAAACTGCCAGCTGCAGGAGGTGCTTCAGAAGAACATAAATAGGAAATTACAGACATACAGGTGCTTTGCACTGGAAACACAATGAAAATTGAAGTTTTTAAGGTTATCCATGTTGGCCCCTAAGATCATGCCTCTAACATAACCATATTTAATATACAACAAATGATCCTGATTTAGGTCTCTAACTGGGCCAAAATCAGCTTTTAATAACCTGTTCTGTGTTCTGGCTTTCTGACAAAGCTAGATGGTGTGAGGCACTGGCTCTCCACTTCCACAGCTCATTTCAGCTGAATAACCATTACGGCTTTTTCAAAGCAAAAACTAAGCTGCCAGACTGATGTCAGTAGGAGGTGCAAATTCCCAGCTCTGTTTGTGGCCCAAGCAATCCAGCTGCCACACGCAACCACTTTAGACACTGCAAGACGCTCTCAGCTCGGAGAAACGGATGAATCTCCGCCGTGACATTGGACCCCACGCGAATCCCCAAGCGACGCTTCATCTCCCCACACTAACAACTGCTTCGGGAAGCTCAGGCCCGGAAACATCAGGAGATTGATCTTTACCACAGATATGTGACCATGCTTGGGTAGCGGCTGATTTTTTAAGATACCAGCTATGCACATCCACGAACCTGAATATTAGGCACTCCCGAATATTAAGGCAGCGGGACAGGGGTTTTAAGATGAACTGTTTGAAAATAAGAAGGTTTATATTTAAAAGGAAGCAATGCTGTCAAGGTTGTGTTAATACATTAGGGGTTATCCGAGCATTTTCTTGCTTTCTGTATATTATACCTGAGATCATTTACAATTTATTGTGTGGAAACTGGGCTCGTTGCTCTGTAGAAATTTTACACAGTGAAATTAAAAGAGTTATTTAATTTTTAACATTATGAAAACATTTTGTATTGATAAAACCTCACCTGTTTAAAATCCTAAATCATTCCACTCTATTTTCAGCTTCCTACAACTGTAGTCCACATTTTCATTGTAGTGTTTCCCACCTGCTTTTTCAACCCAGTTCCACAAAACCCATATGTGATTTATCCTCCCATAGTTTCTTTGGTTTCAAGACTCTTTTTTTTCCACATTTCATCATTGCAGAAACCAGAGAATACCTGTAATAACAATCTCCTTTATTGTTATCATGTGTGCTCAGCTAATAGTGATTTGGTCACATATCCTAAAATAAACAGAAGTGTTCAAGTACTGCTTTATTTTTAATAAAGAGTTTGGATTTTTCTCTGCACTGTCATTTGATTCCAAGAGCTAATATACTGCTTGGGCTCTGACTTCTCAGGCTCCTTGTACAGTCTAAAACCCAGACTTGTAAGTTCTGCGACTAAACAACCATGTAATCTTAGACAAGTCACCTCTGGACAGCTTTGAGGGATGCTAAAAATCTGCTACACGAGCCAAAATCAGCTTCCCTAAGTCTCTGTATATATAAAATAGAAACAAATAATTGGGAGACTTGCTTGCAAAGTACTTTTAAAACATAACTACGTAAGTGATAAATATAATTTTTCATATTTTTTGGAAGACAGACCTAAAAAATAGCTTTGACCTTGTTCTCCAGCTTCAGCTATCTTTTATTCTTACTTTAACCCAGTTTGACTGTACATAAACATTGATTACAGATTCACGGAGGTTATTTGCTCTATCGCAGCATGCTACTATGCCAACATTTCTTGTCTATTCTAAATCTAAAAAGATGCAGCCAAAAGTCTGAGTTGCTCTACTCCAGAAATCAAATGTTAGTATCAAAGAAAATACATGAGAGAAAAAAAAACCCACAAATGAGTCCTTATGGTCTAGATCACAGCTTTGTGTTATTTTGATCCTGGTTTCAGTTTCCCTCCTATAATCAGTTCCAAGTCAACCTTTTTTTTTTTAATATTGCAGGAGGAAATGCTGAATACACACACGTAACCTCTGATCTTTAGATGCTGAGCAAAACCACTATAATCCTAAGGTTTTATAAAATCACTTAATCTTAGTATTTACTGTATTTCAAAAGAAGTGTTTGAAGAGCAGTGGAAAGGAGAAAATGGAAAATGCAGAATCTTTTTATTATGATACAGAACACTTCAAAACTATTTTGTCTGGATCATATAATCTTTAACTCCAGTGCAAACATGCCTTGTTTAAAATACCTCTGGCAATAACTTTCCAATTACTGCTTCCCCAAAAACAACACTTTAATGGAGGAGGATGACTTTGTTTAGCTTTTGCCTTAGCCAATTCAAAGAACAGTTGTCTAAATCAATGGACCAAATCCTGCAGCGAACGATGATCCACATCTCGCACCAAGTAAAGCTTCTTGCTACGACGTGCACCCAGACATGCACTCGAGTGTCTGCAACCACACAACAGATACAGTATTAACTTCCAAAACTCTTTTTAATCAAGAAAAACATGGATGAAAAGCAGCAAAATGTCAATGCTGAAGCATAGCAAAGGTTTATTATTTAATTTTTAACCCATGCAAATCATCCATTTTTTTCATTCACTTGCAATGGATACCCAAATTGTAGGTTGGAGGGCAGGTTTGAGAAATAGATTTTGCTGAAGGGAAAAACTAGACAGCAGCTTTTCAAGATCTGTCTTTAGTATTGCTGCTGAGCTAACAATAATTTAGTGTTGCCTGAAATTCTGAGTTTGCTTACTTCTGATACTCGAAGGCTCCAGGGCAGCACGCACAAATCAGCTAGACAATACAGTACCTGTGTTCGATGTGTATGGGAAGGTTATGACTACATAACCTTGTGCAAACAATTTTAGCAGCCAGTTTTGAAAACGTGTCATCTAAAGCTTAGATAATTACCTCATTTCCATACGGGCAATCAGCTCTCTTAAATAATTGGTGCCCTTTTAGAAGTATTTGGTTCTTGAAATTAATTTTCAGATCGCTACAGCTGTCTGAAGATCCGCCCCAGACTAGAAGCAGACAGGGAAAGGGGGAGAATGAGGGGCAATGGGGCTACGAGAGAGGAAGAGGAAGCAAGCCATGAGGGATGAAGAAAGAGCTGCACAGAGAGAGAGGCTTCATCTTGTACTGCCCATATTGCTGCCACAGTGGAGCAGCAGCGGGGAGAGCTTGTTTTGTTTGCTTTAAATAAATAACCTACAGCTTTATACATGAAAACATGGTAGGAGTAAAATAAACAAATAAATTACACAACTCCCTCAAACTTCTTCTTGTCCTTTTGCCTTCAGTGAATGCAGAGACTGCCTTTTTCTTTCAGTTTAGATTTAGTGGATCAACAAGTGAAAAAAAAAAAAGGTGAATAACATGACATGAAATACTGAAATTTGCTGACACGTTCTTCCCAGCAGACATTATCCTTTGACTTACCGGACTCCCGAGTACGACCTCGCACTACTTCACTCCACGGTCCTGCCCCAATGGCATTGAAGGCCTGGATTTGCAGTTCGTATTCTGTCCATTCCTCCAGATCTTCGATCGTGTACTCTCTCTCCAGACGGTCGTTAATAACCTTCATCAGTGGCGGAGATTGCAGGTCCACTCGCCAAAACTTTATCCTGTATCCCACTGACTCGGGATTGCCGTTGTACTGCGTGTCGGGCAGGGGCTGCCGAACGACGCAAAGGAAAAACACGTTATCACCCAGGACACATTGCCAATACTGCCCAAATTATAAGCCAAGGTTGTCTGAACTCAGATAAGGTCATGGGAAAGCAAAACATATTGGAGGGGTTGATTTTTCTTTATACTTCATATCTCTAAATGCTTCTGTTGCTTGAGGTATTATTTTCATTTTTTACCTTTTGTATCAAATGGATATATTTGCACAACTGTGCCATGTGCTGTGGGTTTACCAACAAAAGTGATACCAACACAACAAATTCCAGGTCTTTATGATTAATTACGGAAATGAATGATATATTGCTGAACCATATGACAAATTAATCTATTGTGCATTTTTGACTTTTTAACCGAGTCTGCCGACTCGTTTATCAGCAGAGATTTATTCTAGGATTCCAGCTCCACTAGCAATTTCAGAGGTTAAAATACAAAGTAATCAGCCCCCTCCAAGAAGTTTTAGGGTTTTTCCCCCCGTAAAACTAACTGCATGATCCCAAGGATGAGTGTGATTCAGCCCTGCACCACTGGCAAAGTTTGCTGTGCATTAACATTTCACAGCTTAGAAGATTACACCCTGCAGGCAAGCGGGGCTAAAAATGTGACCCCTATTCAGTTGCAAAGGAGGAATCCCCAGCTCTCAGGAGGACCCTGGTTCACCTGCAGGTCTTGAAAAGGAAAGATTAAACGTTTTCAAACACTAGTGATGCTAAGCAGGATCAAGGTGAGCTGAGGTCATTTTTGGCTGCAGCTGTTGCTCCCCTGCGCAGTTTGACTTGGGATAACCAGGCTTCCTGACAGCACAGCAGGAAACCCACTTTTAAAAGTTCTCAAAAGTCTCTAAAAGAACCTTGAGTTAATTTTGATGCGACATATAGGGGTCTGGATCGAGGATCTGAGGTTGCAACAGGATCCAAAGGTTTAACGAGGCGGGCACTTTACACCCCCAGTAAAGCCATGAATGGATTATGGGGGTCCTCTACGCATATGGAGGCAACACCTTTAAGTTGAACATTTTGGTCTTTCAAGGATCAGGGGCAAGTTCTGTTTCCCATTGAGAAACTGAAATAGTTTTCTTCTGTTTGCAGAAAAAATCTTTCTTGTTTCTAGCCTAATTACGACCTCCAGACATAGTAAGCTTATGCAGAGAAAAGCTAGCATTTGGTCAAAAGGAAATCTGTGCTTCATCAACTTCACACTGCAGCAGTCCCAGTGGAAAATTCTCCCTTCCAGGGGAGGGGAAAAAAAAAAATTTGGAGCAGATTAATTGCTAAAAAAAAACCCACGGTAACAATCCCGCAGGCAACCAAGACCACTGGTGGGGCACAGGTGCTCAATCAAGCTCCACACCTCAGCAGGTAACCACTTGTTTCTGCATTTTATCGCCTATCGCCATAACCTTTCCTATAAATATAATCTCCCTGCATGAATCTAACATGTTGAACGTGGTTGTCTTTGGACGGCAGCTACCACTGTACGGTACATGCCGGGTGACCGTCAACAGTACCTGCTGGGGGACAGTTTGACACCACCCCAACACCTGAGCCCTCAAAAGCGCAGACTGGCTGCAATATTACGGATTTGTGTGGAACAGGACCCAGAGCGTGGGACAGGAGAGCCTCCAAAGCCTGACGAGGCAGC